CCATAATTTTTCAGTCAGCTCACAAGCCCACAACCAAGAAGAAGCCAGCCTATTATCAGTCAATGTATTACCAACAAGAAAATGGACGTCAACCTATTATATGTCAAAACATTATCAGCCCAAAAGCAAATAACAGAGTAGACACCATCCAACCATCCATCAACGTATTACCAGCCAGCCTCAATATGTCTAGCGTCCGTTATCAACCGATTCACTAACCCACAGCCAACCAGCTGCCAGGCTTCTAATCTTCAACATATAGCCTGCTAGCTCTCAACAAAAATGACGCCAGCTTATAAATCATCAACGCTTTACTAGCTAGCCCACACGTCCACAATCAAGACGCCAGCCTTATACACGTCAACAAACCTGCCACCATATACATGTCAACAAACCTGCCGCCATCTAATTAGCAGCAAACTAATTAGTCAACAGCTATCCAGTTGGTCCACTAGCCGACAAGCATCCCGCACGACCGAGAATCAGCAGTTATCCGCAAGTCACTCCCCCAACCAGTAATGAATCAGCAAACATCCGCAACCCGACAGCACTTCAGTTTCTAGCATCATTGACAATACCAACTAGCAATTAGTACAAGCAGAAGAAAGCCAACCTGCAAAAAAAACAAAAGCAACCTACCCAGAAATGGAAATCCCAAAAAATCGAATATGAACCCAATATTCTAGCGCCCAGTCATTAGCTGACAAAGATTTGTGCATACCTAATTAAAACAGTGGCCAAAAACAGAACTGTGTAGGCCTACACTTAATTAACACAGTGGCCAATGAAAGAACTGTTTACGTCTGATTAACATGTTGGCCAAAAACTTAACTGTACATATGAAAGTGACACGGTTGCCGAATACAGATTTCCAACAGACGGAGTGTTGGAATAAAAACCTGCAACCCATATTTACTGAACTGTAACAAGAAAAATTGCACACATAATTGACACAGTGGCCCAAAACTTAACTGTAAACATGTTATTGACACAGTGGCCCATAGCATAACTGTAAACAGGTCATTGACACAGTGGCCCAAAGTATAACTGTACACATCATTGACACAGTGACCCATAGCATAACTGTAAACATGTCATTGACACAGTGTCCCAAAGCATTACTGTAAATATGTCATAGACACAGTGGCCCAAAGTATAACTGTACACGTCATAGTCACAGAGACCCATAGCATAACTGTAAACATGTCATTGACACAGTGCCCCAAAGCATAATAGTAAACATGGCATTGACACAGTGACCCAAAGCATAACTGTAAACACGTCATTTACACGGTGACCCAAAGCATAACAGTAAACATGTCATTGACACAGTGACCCAAAGCATAACTGTAAACACGTCATTGACACAGTGACCCAAAGCATAACAGTAAACATGTCATTGACACAGTGGCCCATAGCATAACAGTACATAACTCATTGACACAGTGGCCTAAAACAGAAATGTACAGTCATGAAACAAGAAATAGTCCGCTTCACATGATCTTGATAACTCCCCTAGACCATATCTAACTCGACACTTAGATGCTACTATTTAATGTTGCTATTATAGTAAAATTCTAGCTACTACATTTTGATATTCTCTTCGCATCTTGTACTAGAGTTTTCAGGAATCTATATCACAATACAATATGTTTAAACTCTTCAGTTTGCTTAAAAATAATATTTTTCTTATATTTAGCATTCTAGACTTTTAGCACAGTATGACCAATCTAATATACGTTAATTGTCAAATTTGATTAATTCTAATTATGTTACTATGATTAAAAAAACTAGATACGTTATAGGCCTATTTGTTTAATTCTTTTAATTATTTACCCATTGGTCATTGTTATAAACTTTGTCTTTTATATATATATATATATATATATATATATATATATATATATATATATATATATATATATATATATATATATATATATATATATATATATATATATATATATATATATATATATATATATATATATATATATATATATATATATATATATATATATATATATATATATATATATATATATATATATATATATATATATATATATATATATATATATATATATATATATATATATATATATATAAAACGCTACTGTGGCAAACAACCTGAATTACAGCCAGTTACAACCACCACTTTGCCCTCAGGATCCAGCATGGGTACTTTACTTTTTTTAAACCTGATGTACACTTTTCTTACAAGAATACATACAGCGACGAAGACTGAAAAATAACGAGTTGGGTATTATATAAAATTACAATGAAATTGAATCATAGTGCAGCTTTTCTGCATATGGGTGGATAACTGCTTATGGTTGGATAATATAATTTTGTATAGGCTAATTTTATTGGCCTTTATCTTAGATATGCTTGAGCATAAAATTTGCATTGCTTATAATATTTGTTTTACTTTTAAGATTTGTTATGCTTGTAATATTTGTTTTACTTTTAAAATGTTATGCTTGTAATATTTGTTTTACTTTTAAAATGTTATGCTTGTAATATTTGTTTTACTATTAAAGTGTGTCTAGCTGTCACCTAATAAAATTGATCAGATGTAAAAGTTAGACTACTCCTGCACCAAAAAAGATAACCTGCATTGGCCCAGCAAATTATCTGATATGAACTAATACATAGATAGTATATAATAAGCTGGTATCTTTTAAATTTTTGGATTGTTGGTTTTTTTTTCCTTATATTTTAAGATCCTGACATTCATGTTAACAATCAGATGGTGAGATAAAGTACATGCAGATGGTGAGATAAAATACATGCAGATGGTGAGATAAAATTCATGAGGATGGTGAGATAGATACATACAAATGGATGTGGTAAAATACATGCAACTTGTGAGGTAAAACACATGCAGATGGTGAGGTGAAATACATGAAGATTATGAGGTGAAAAACATGAAAATTGTGAGGTAAAATACATGCAGATGGTGAGGTGAATACATGCAGATGGTGAGGTGAAATACATGCAGATGGTGAGGTAAAATACATGCAGATGGTGAGGTGAAATATGCAGATGGTGAGGTAAAATACATGCAGATGGTGAGGTGAAATACATGCAGATGGTGAGGTAAAATACATGCAGATGGTGAGGTGAAATACATGCAGATGGTGAGGTAAACACATGCATATGGTGAGGTAATTACATGCAGATGGTGATGTAATTACAATAATTACATGCATATGGTGAGGTAATTACAATAATTACATGCATATGTTGAAGTAATTACATGCAGATGGTGAGGTTGTTACAATAATTACATGCAGATGGTGGTTATTACAATAATTACATGCAGATGGTGAGGTTGTTACAATAATTACATGCAGATGGTGAGGTTGTTACAATAATTACATGCAGATGGTGAGGTAAAATACATGAAGATGGTAAGGTTAAATACAGAAATCTAGCTTGTAAAGATTGATTTTCAAAAAGTATTTGTTTTGTAATTGTATATTATGATATAGGCCTACTGATTATCCATACTAAGCCAACCTGTTCATTGTATAATGATTATCTTATATCTACTAATCTAAATCTATAGGCCTAAGCCCATACACTCGCATACAGTCACATAATCTGTTGTAAATTAGCAGTAAACAAAAACTAAAATAAATTAAAAAATAAACGAACCAAATAAATTTCCATAAAACATGAAGAAAAGACATGCTGCTATAGTCCAACCAACAGCTTCTATTTTCTTGAAAGTGGGAAGATCTAATTCCATCTTTAGATACTCATTGACATTAAGGTAAAATTGGAAATTGGTTACACCAATAGTTTAAACACTTTTGGAATGTCACATTTTCCAGTTCCAGGGTTCGATCACATGGTTCAGTATAGAGTAGTATAGACTAGATCTAGAGATCTAGGTTCTGTCATACGATTTTGTTATGGTTTTGTCAAACGAAGCTATCTCAGAGTAAGCCTACTAAAGGTTGAGTGCAAAGCAAATTTAAAAAATTAATAGTTTCAAGTTGCAACAAAAATCATAATAAAAGTAAAAAGAACATCCAAGGTTTACAATTGTATAAGGTCAAGGCTGGGTCATATGTTTGTGCTGTCATAACGTGATTGGTATACAGTGCATGCAAATAATGACCGCCCAAAACATGCGAGCCAACCAAAAGACACCTAAGATTCGAGTCGGTATCTCGGTCTTAGGTCACCATCTAGGCCGATGCTCATCGTTATATAACTGTATCACGTGATTAGGGTTTTTATCTCCGTTTCAAGCAGACAAAACATGCAGTGAACCACCTAACAGTGACCGTCCATTTTCGCGGACTCGGGGGTGGGGTGGGGGGGGGGGGGGTGCAGAAGTGTCGAATATTAGAATATTGTGCCTATGTATGAAGAGTGGAAGCAGAGTTTCTTTCAGGCATCTCTTGGGGGGGGGGGGGGGGGGGGCGCGAATAAAATAAATGAAGACACTTAGATTTTTTTAAATCAATTTGTCCATTTATTATTATTTTAATTAGTGTGGGTCATTGTGTTGATCATCAAAATAAATCTCCTAAAATGACGTCACGCTTCAACCTTCATTCCGCCCCAAAATTTCAGTTTTTCTTTCTACTTTCGTATACAAAGTAGGCTATAGAGAAAGTATATTAATCGGGCCATAAAATTAAATAAGATTTTGACAGCTTTCGCCAGCTAACTAAATGTATTAAAATTTTGTACCTTCTAGCTCTTTCACTCTTGACTTTCTTATTGCAGCCTTTCACAGAAATCAAATGTAGTTTCTTAACCGAAAGTCCAAGTTCTTAAAGAAAAAAAAAGTACCATCACGAAAGCAAATAGTCTTTAAATGCTAAAAAGTACAAGCTCCCCACATTGCAGTTGTGTAGTTTCATGTAGGGACAAATCAAAGCTTTTTAAATCCCTGTGCTAACTTTATCAGTAATATCAGTAAGATGGTTCCATCTCCATCAAATTTATGTTTAAATGACAAAACAAACAATAAAAAAAAAGCATCCAAATTTTTTATTAGCTTTTGTAAATACAAATTTCATGACAGTTTGCTTTCTAATGTACTGGGAGATAACTCCATTGCACATGAACAGAAACAGGGTATTTAACAAATGATAAAATAAGCAGATGTGTAAATTATAACACAGTTGCTACCCTATCACAAAAAGATGAATAAACGATTACATACATCTTTGTGTGATGATAAAAAATAGACCTTTGAATGATAAAACTGAGGTATAAATGATAAAACAAATGTATAAATGATAAAAGAGATGTATAAATGATAAAAGATATGTGTATAATTGATAGATGTATAAATGATAAACAGATGTATACATGATAAACAGATGTATGCATAATAAACAGATGTATAAATGATAAACAGATGTATGAATGATAAACAGATGTATGTAAATGATAAAACAGATGTATAAATGATAAAACAGATGTATATAAATGATAAAACAGATGTATATAAATGATATACATATATAAATGCATCATGAAAGCACTACAGCATTAATTGCTTATCTATAACATTAAACTCAGCCTGGACAATATAAACAACATCACAAATTATAAATACATGACATAGATGCATAATCTGGCAGCAACGCTATAAACTGCATATATAATGTTGAATGAAAACATTTGTCTAACACAGATTGAATAGATTAACTAGATGAAATGTACAATCTACAAGAACTTACAAGAATAAACGTTTGAGCAAGTTATTGCTGGTATCATAGCATGAAGGTAGAACTAAAAACCAATGATACAGTGAGAAGAGGGTTAATGAACCTTTAAATATGAATAATACTCAGCTGCCTGAAATATTTAACAAACAAGGAATGAATTTTTTTTAGAGAAATGGCTTAGTTCTGCAGTGTAGCCATACCACTCTAGCTGGGGGCTACACAGCCATACCATCATGGCTGGGGGTAGTACAAACATACTACTTTGGCTGAGGGTAGTACAAACATACTACTTTGGCTGAGGGTAGTACAGACATACAACCAAAGCTGCAAGTCATATAGCCATACCAACATAGCTAGGGGTAGTATAGCCATACTACCATGGCTGGGGCTAGAGCAGCCATACCAAAAAAGCTGTAGGCAGTGCAGCCATAATAAAATAGTTGGGGGTGGAAATTTTTTAAATCCAACATAGTTCTCTTAAACAACATAACAGAAAAATATACTAAAAACCTTTAACAAAGTAAATGTAAAAATTAAGTATGTCTAAATTTAAAAATAAAAGGGAGGGGTCAGGTAACTGTATCCCTACTTTTTATCCTGGTCCCCAAACATTTTTTAGAGACCACAAGTCACATGACTCATTTTGACAAAGTTTATTTGAAGACAATGTATGGCACAAAATAAGCTCGCACCTTGTCAAACATATGTTGGGGCAGGTAGGGCTGTATGAGGGCCAGCACCTGGAACATACAGAACAGAATGATTAACATATACAACATAACGTACACCTAGTAAGTGGTACCAATAATTTGTTACATAGTGCTCTTTCAACATTTGGAGTTAGTATAAATAAAACCAGTCAGTCTGTTTTATATTTAGATTCCGTAACTTAAATCTAGGCAGCTCAATTTAAACTTTGTCAAGAACCATACACATGATACAAAATTAATCAATCAACTAAATATAATTAAAATAAACAAGGCTTTATTCTCCACTTTAATGCAAAACAAGAAGCATACAGATCTAATGGAATGCAATGGAAATCAACCACTTGTTTGAAAATTCACTAATAAGAATTTTAAAATTAAAGCAATAAAGAATATAACAAAAATGCTATTTTAAAATACTGTTTTTTTTAGTAATTATACTAGAAAGAATAAAACTACTCCTTTCAATACTCACATAGTAGAAATCAAAAAATGATTTGGATCCTGAGATTAAATAGCGAACGCTAGGGCAGGGATTGACCAGGGCGTCTTCAAAGGCATCCAACACTGGGTCAATGCTTGGTGCTGATGTAGCCGCCGCCTTCTGGCAACCATCTAGTTGTTGCTGGACAATAAATTACGTACAATGTAATATGTGAAATAACATAGGAAAGCATAAGTTTAAACATTTGCTGTTGCTCAATGAAAGATATCAGATACTTTGGAAGGCATTTTGTGAAATAACATAGGAAAGCATGTTTAATGTTTTTTAAATCAATAAAATCTTAACATATAAATTAAAAGTACCAAAAGTAGTTCTAAAAATCGCATTAATTGGGCATTGTTAGGTGAGAAATTTAATACTAACAAATAAAGAAAAATTACAGCAATGCCAGAAAATTTTTTTTTATAAATGTGTATGACAATCATATGGTGACTTGCAGATACTAACGCAAGACTTATGGCGGTGACACACAGATACTAACACAATACTTATGATGGTGATGTACAGATACTAACACAAGACTTATGGTGGTGACATACAGATACAAACACAAGAATTATGGTGGTGACATACAGATACAAACACAAGACTTATGGTGGTGACATACAGATACAAACACAAGAATTATGGTGGTGACATACAGATACAAACACAAGAATTATGGTGGTGACATACAGATACAAACACAAGACTTATGGTGGTGACATACAGATACAAACACAAGACTTATGGTGGTGACATACAGATACAAACACAAGACTTATGGTGGTGACATACAGATACAAACACAAGACTTATGGTGGTGACATACAGATACAAACACAAGACTTATGGTGGTCACATACAGATACAAACACAAGACTTATGGTGGTGACATACAGATACAAACACAAGACTTATGGTGGTCACATACAGATACAAACACAAGACTTATGGAGGTGACATACAGATACTAACACAAGACTTATGGTGGTGACATACATATACTAACACAAGACTTACAGTTAAATGGGCTGGTCCATAAAACTCCTTCACATCAGGTCCAGCTTCATTCCACTGGGAATCAAGATCTGCTTTGATTCTTTTCAGCTGTAATTTGTAAATGTTAATCCTTGTTTTTAATCTACCTACACATGTTATTATTTAGTTGTAGAGAAAGACTCAGGGTATCATGAAGGGAACTGACTCCGTGACTAGATCACTAGTCTGCAAACCTGAAAATCTCACAATCGAATCCGGGTTCAAGTCATTAGAACGTCACTGAGTCCACCCAGCTCTAATGGGTACCTAACTCAGATTAGGGAAAGTAAAGGCGCATGGGCATAGTGCTGATCACATTATTCCTTCTTATGGCGAGATCACAGAACCAGGTGAACCCAACTTCACTTGCCACATAGAACATCAGGTTTGAAAAGGAAACTCAACTTTTAAAACTAATTGAAAGTAGTAATCTAATCTAATTTTCTTTGAACAAGCATTACGATAAATTAATTTATGGGTGAAAAGGGAAACAACCCACTACACCAACAGGCAAGTCTGATGGCTGAACTACTGACATAGTTTTAAATGTTTTACAGATTGTATCAAACAATTATTTAAAATAAATGTTATTTTTAAGCTTGGTAGATTTTTAGTCAAGAGTTACTTCCATTGGTAACATTTTTATCCAAAGAGAAAATGTTCATACCGCAGCTTCATTCAAGCAACCTGTGGCGCCACCATAGTTGCAGGGCTCTATGATGGAGACTTTAACACCAAACTGACTCATCTCAAGACGCAGGGTCTCAGAGAAAGCCTCAGCCCCAAATTTTGCCATTGTGTACGGAGCATTGCTGGGTATGGCGAATAAGCCTTTCACACTTGTAACATTTACTATACGACCTGAAATTTTAAATTCAAGAATTTTATTATTATTTTATTATTAATTTATTATGATCAAGATTATAGTTTCTAAAGCATTTAAAAGTTGTAATCATTAAAAGAAAAGTTGTTGTACAATAACCTATGAGTTTTAAATGCACCAATATTTCTTTCAATGCTACCTACATAATTTTCAAAAATGATGTTTTTCTAAAATTTCTAATTGATAATCGTATAAATAATTATAATCAGAAGTGCCATTTCTACATTTTTTAAAGTTGTTGCACACCTTTAGCCTGTCTGAGCAGAGGTAAGAAAGCCTTGCAGGTCCTCACCATGCCATACATGTTGATGTTCCCTATGGTCAGGTACTGTTCCATGGTGCTCAACTCCACATCACCAACAAAGTTGAGGCCTGCGTTGTTTACTAGACCCCATAGACCTAAAGGATTGAGACAAAATGTTTAGACCCCATAGACCTAAAGAATTGAGACAAAATGTTTAGACCCCAGAGAACTAAAGGATTGAGACAAAATGTTTAGACCCCAGATACCTAAAGAATTGAGACAAAATGTCTAGACCCCACAGACCTAAAGAATTGAGACAAAAAATGCGTAGCTTTAGACTTAAAGAATTGAGAAAAAATGTTTAGACCCCATAGACCTAAAGGATTGAGACAAAAAGTCTAGCCATAGACCTAAAGAATTGAGAGAAAATGTCTAAACCCCATAGACCTAAAGAATTGAGACAAAATGTCTAGACCCCACAGACCTAAAGAATTGAGAGAAAAAATGCGTAGCTTTAGACTTAAAGAATTGAGAAAAAATGTTTAGACCCCATAGACCTAAAGGATTGAGACAAAAAGTCTAGCCATAGACCTAAAGAATTGAGAGAAAATGTCTAAACCCCATAGACCTAAAGAATTGAGAAAAAATGTCTAAACCCCATTGACCTAAAGAATTGAGAGAAAAATGTGTATCTATAGACTTAAAGAATTGAGAGACAAAATGCCTAGACCCTATAGAGCAAAACATATTGAAAGGATGGAGCAGACTTTTAAAAAAAACTAAGTTGTTTTATTTAATTCACAAAACACTGTATCTGACAAACTGTCTTTTTATTTTAATACAAGTTGGAGTTATGTCAGTGAAATTAAATGAAGTATATTGAAGATGGAGATGTGTGGTTGCAGCCCTTTGCTCCCCAGGGGCCACAAAGGAACGATGATGATGATGATATTGAAGTCATTTTTTAAAATATGTAAAATATTTAAACAGTTATACAAAGAAGTTATAAACCACATAACAGTCATACATTTTTAAGTATGAAACTTTCCCCCATACCTTTATTTTCACACTGCTCTTTCACCACCCTGTGTAGCTTGGATACACTGTCATCATTAGTCACATCAAGGGGAACTACTCGAAGTTTCTCAGCAGCTAAAGCCTTCAGTTCTTTCCCCCCAGCACTTTCAGTATTCAGGCAGGCAGCAAAAACTGTAAAACCTTTTTCGTGCAGTCTTTTTGCTAATCCTAACCCAAAACCTGCAAGAGATGAAAATATATTACTAGTTATGAGTTGTATTCTTATAACTGAAGTTTAGAACTTTTAATTTTTTTTAATATTAACATTAAAAAACAAAACATTATTACAGTATAAAAAAATAATTCATTCTAGATGTTAAATGATACATTATTTATTAATTGCTTACTTAATCATATTTATTTCGTAATATTTGATCTTGTTAATAGTTAAACAATGTTCTATCTGTTAGTAAATGGACAATCCAGAAAAGAACAACCTGAATCACAGCCAGTTACAACCACCACTTTGCCCTCAGGATCCAGCATGGGTACTTTACTTTTTTTAAACCTGATATACACTTTTCTTACAAGAACACAAACTGCAATAAAGGCTGAAAAGGGAAACAATTTTGTGAGTGAACACAACAAAAAATGTAAGCTACCCATTTAAAAATAATACAGAAGGTGAACCACATAGTACAACAGTTTCTATGAGTACTAAATATGAAGGGACAGTGGGGCCTTAAAGCTACATTTTGTCTTTATCTTGGATACTCATAGAATTTGTTGTGGGCCTATTTTTTTATGTGTTCATTTTATAACAAAATATAAACAGCCTGGTGGCAAAATATAAACAGCCCAATCAAAAAGATATTTGAGAATACACTGGACTACACATTCCAGGTGCTCCACTTATGTTTAATCCAACCTGATGATAATTTAACTAATGCCTATCCAACCAATGACATGTAACTAATCTTAACCCAACCAATGTCATGTTTTTAATCCCTATTCAACCAATGTCATGTAACTAATCCCTATCCAACCAATGTCATGTAACTAATCTTAACCCAACCAATGTCATGTAACTAATCCCTATCTAACCAATGTCATGTAACTAATCCCTATCTAACCAATGTCATGTAACTAATCCATATCTAACCAATGGCATGTAACTAATCTTAACATAACCAATGTCATATAACTAATCCCTATCCAACCAATGTCATGTAACTAATCCCTATCCAACCAATGTCATGTAACTAATCCCTATCCAACCAATGTCATGTAACTAATCTTAACCCAACCAATGTCATGTAACTAATCTTAACCCAACCAATGTCATATAACTAATCTTAACCCAACCAATGTCATGTAACTAATCCCTATCCAACAAACACCATGTCATAACCCTTACTATTTGATGAGACTTCACATTCTAACATCTCTCAAGTTGCAACTACACTGCTAAAATCAATAGGGCCTAATAGATTGCTAATCAATGCACAAGTTAGAGTATACAAATAAAAAAAAAACTGCTTCAGTCACATGGAAATACATTAAATCTGGTGTTGCTAACAGCTGTTACCTAGATCAGAAATTTTTTTCCTATGCAAGATCAGACAACTCTTGTACCAAGGGAAGATAAATTAGATTAGCACAGCAAATCATGTTATGTGGACTATATAGATAGCAGTGTAGAGAGTTGGTATCTTTTCACTTTGGTGGTTTTCTTATTAACATTAAGATAAAATACAGAATTCTGGCTGCTTTTTAAGAGTGATTTTGATAAAGCTTTTAGGAGCAAGTTTTGTTAAAGAATGCCATAAGGTTATGTCCTATGCATTGTGATTATCCAATAAAAGCCCACCTAATCTCAATAGGTTTATTATTCACATTAAGCCCAGATAGCTTTCATTCTACTGTAAGTTTTAAGTAACCAAAAAAAATTAAAGAAAAAATAATCGAACCAAATAAATTTCCATAAAACATGAAGAAAAGACATGCTGCTACAGTCCAACCAACAGCTTCTATTTTCTTGAAAGTGGGAAGATCTAATTCCATCTTTAGATACTCTTTGACCTTTGACATCACAGTACAATGGCTACACTGTATGAAGGTTATGTCAAAGGGTGTTGTCACAGGTACCCCACAGATATCTTGTCATCAATCAACAATCCTAAAAACAGGGATCATAAGACAATATTAAAATAAGTGCAGTTAAGAAACAAATTCAATGAAATAAAAATGTATCAGTTTAACCAATGTGTGTTCAAATACTAGATTTAAATATTTTTCATTAAATTATAGGCGTACTTTTTAATTAAATATGTTATGACATGGTACAACATACAGCACTATATCACATAGTTTTTGTATTGTCAGATATGCATATCTTGTCTATTTTATATTTAAGAGGTTTGTAATGTTATCTCCAGGTCATAAGTAAGAATAAAATATCTGTTGGTCCAACTAGCAGCCCAATGACAGAAAGGCATCACCCTTTTTAAATGTCTACATGGTGTGTTCTTGAAACATTTACTTTTTCAGGATGCATTTGGGTGGGGGGAGGGGGGGGGGGGGGTTGAGGGTTCATGTTGATTTCCACACATAACAATAATATTAACATTTAACATCAAAATATTGGCAAGTCACAACAAACATAAAAAAATGTATTCTGCAAACAAATATGGCTTCATAGTCTAATAGACCATTTAATAATTGTGCATTGGAAATTCAAGAACAAAGCCTGGGCTGTAAGTTGAGAAAAACCAGATGTTGCCCCTGTATCAGGCCCCCTCTCTCCACACAGCTGTAGACCCAAGGGAAAGGACTTTACAGTTTGGAATCAGCTGTTTCGCAGGAGCTGCCAAACCAGAGTTAATAATCCTATTGCCTAAGGAGCTCCACTCCTGTTTGATTCAGGAGTTTTTGCTCCTAGATGGGTTACTGTCCCCAGCTGACAAGCCTCATCTGCCTGAGGGTTCTAACACGGGTCTTTCTGGTCAATAGCCATGTACTCAACCACTAATACAAATAGTAAACATTTTAACATTACTGCTTGATTTTAAAATAACTTCGCACAGCAGGTAATTAAATCATGGAATCTAAGTTTATAAGCGGCAAGCGAGCAATAAACAAAAGAGAAAGAAGGGTCACAAGCCAGATAAAGCCTTATGATTTTAAAAAATGCTGTTACAACCATAGAGAATAATAGTAATAAAAACTTTTCTTTCCCATAAAATTCCATGGATTCCTAACTAGCTGGGAAGTAGGCCTAATAAAATGAAAAATAAAATAGTACTTCATTTTTAAACATTTTGATTATTTTTAGTAGTAGGTTTGTCAGCCCTACTTAAGAGTAGATAAAATAAGAGGCCTATTTAGTAATTCAGTAAGTTGGGTATTGTTTAAGTTAGTTTAAATATTTACAAATTAATAAATTAAACAATTGATAAATCCAGTTAATAGCTAGTTAGTAGACCAAGTGAATTAGTAGTAGTAAGACATAGTAGTAGGCATATTTAATAAATAATAGCGTCCCCGTCCCCGTGTGTTGCCGCGGGAATAGAAGAAAGTCAAACAAAATATAAAAGAAGGGTTTCATCAATGTGTTACTAATCCTATATTCTTAGACGCTTGACCTTGTTTTCTAAAACTGAGCTATTTAAATATAAACAATGCCTGCGCTTGGATCATAAATATCAGGACACGGGTTTACCTACACTACCACATGAAAACCTTGAGTGTACATTAATCACTCACCCAGGGCGCCAAACAGCATCCCTGAAACAATGATGCAGATTGCGTCATTCGCTAAAATTACACAAATCAACAAGATTTTTTTCTTTAACACGTAGAAAAAAAAATATTTGACATGTTTTAAACATAATGTGACTGATGCAATTTGTTAGCTTTACTAATGGTGTATTAAAATAGATGCTAATTGCATCATTTGCAAAGTGACGAAACTGTTTGGATTTTTTACGGAAAAAAGGAAACAACCCAGTCAATAATCTAACCTTAGTTTATTTTTCTGATTATTAAAAAAAATGTATTACAGGGCCCTCAGCAGCCCATGTGAACCTTTGGGGGCCGAAACTGAAATTTTTTTTCACAGCCAAATAGCACCCTACCAGGGTGACAGCGGACATGCCTTATCCATTATCTATCACACTGTTTAGAACTAACGTAGTCGCCATAGCGCTCACGGGAAAGACCAGGGCACCAAGTTGCATCCTGCCGGGGGCCGCCCGTGCAAAATTAACACCCCCCTCCTCCTCAGAAACCTTCTTGAGAGTATTCATCACTCCCTAAAGTTTAATGGCACTTGGATAAACGGTGCTGAACCGCATCAGACTTTCTTTTTTTTTTAATATATCGTATATAGAGAAAAATCGCAACATCCCGGGACGCCTCTTGCGAAATTAAAAAAGAATTTTTTACAGAGACTTCACCTGGAGTGTTCTAATCAACTACCCAAAGTTTGATGGCGATCGGATGAACGGTGTGAAACAGCAATGGACATTTATTTTTATATACCGTATTTAGAGAAAAATTGCATAAAAGACAAACACACACACGTAAAATCGGCCGAGACTAGATCTACATCTAGATCTAGTAATATGAAAAAAAAGGTGACTCATTAAAATTTAATTATTTCACATTTTTAGGAGAAATTTAAAGTTAATTTCTGGCATATATTGAAATATTTAGCAATAGATTTGGTTTATTATTCAAATTATTCAGGTATCTACAATATTTGACACAAATATATTACAATATACTTCTATTAAAGTTTAAAGCCTTAACAACGAGGCAACTTTTTTTTCACATTACTTAATATTAATAATAATAATATTAATATATTAATAACGCACCTAGGATCTAGGTCTAAAACGATAAATTACTAAATTAGTTAATAATAATTACCGATATCTTTATTTTATCAGTTTTTTTATCTTCTTCAGCTTAAACTTAAGATATAGACTAAAATTTAACACACACTTCTCGGTTTATAAGACTTAAGAAGAATCATAAATTTTAAAAATACCGTGCCTAAATTAATAGTCTTGAAAGCGACTCACAGTTGTGTGTAGATCTATTGATAGATTCTAGAATCTAGACTCAAGACATAAACAAAGTGATTCAGTGGCAGGATTTACATGACCTTTGGCCCAGGTATAGTGTTGTTTCCTGGTCAAGGTCAGGGTTAACTATACTAATTATAGGCCTAGCCAAAATCGTTTGGGTTTTTTTTTCTTAAGCTATCTGATAGGTTAATTCATTATAGCTAGACTATGTCTTTCTTGTGTGAGAAAGTGTATTTCTACGACATACTTAATATATTAAAAAAAAGTCTGTTATTAATATTAGGATAATCAGTTTTAATACGCATCTACCATTCAGATTTCAGTAAAACTAAAAGTACACTTTTGAGTAGCGTGACCTACTAAGTCAAAGCTGCTTCTCTTAGCCTTATCTACCAACATAACAAACAGTCGTAGATGAGTCAGTTACAGATAACTTGTCATAATTTCTGTTCTATGCACTCTAGTTTAAATACTACCCCCTAAAGTAATAATGATTTACAGCAACCTAGGTTGTATGCAGGTAAATTCCTATTTCATTTTTCATCCAATTCATTTCATTAAAACAATACAGAAATACTACATGGTAAAGAAAAACAAAAATCACACAAAAGAATAGTATACTGATTTAATCATTCATCACAGTTAAACAGTGAATAAAGAAGGATAACTTATGCTGCAATACTTGTAAAGAATGACAAACAAATACACTAGTTGTACTACAATGTCCAAAAGTAAAATGATGAATGGTGACAAACTGCAATGATAATGACAACCCACACCAGAAAATCATACAATCCCCACCCCCTTCATCTCCTTTGGCAGTGAAGCAACTTCAATACACACTGTTATTTAATAAAAAGTTAATAAAAATTATAAAGTAAAAATCTACACAAGCAGTTATGAGTTCAAGGTCAACTCATAGCTCAACCAATGTAGATACAAATCATGACCTAGTTCACACAAGGGCAAACAGTACCAAATTTTAAAAAAACAAAAAGAACACTTGCCCTTGCTTGATGCAACAGATGAAAATAACACAAGCATTGGGCTTAAAAATTAATGTATAAAACTTGTATGGGAGGGAAACAAGAAATATAAAAGTTAAAGTACAACATGTAGTCCATGGTAGTCAAAGGGGATGAACAAGTCAATTCAATGAACACAGCTGGTAGCACAACTGCTACTTTATTGCTGGTAGCACTATGCTATGTTACAGCTTGTAGCACTTGCTACAAATGTGTAGATCATAACTTTTTAAAGAAATAAAAAGATAGAATACATTGATTACAATAGCCACTAAAGTAAAATAACTTTAAAAGAAATATGTACATGAGAGCTTGTTGTACACAGAGCAGAGTGTCACTCCAGTACTAACAACTCTTTTAATTTCACTCCAAGAACAAGGTGTGAATTGCTAAATAAAGTGAAATCTTGTATTAAGAAGACTAGAAAGCATACATTTTTTTTTTAATGTCAGGAAGATGAAGAGTTACATTAATTATGATAAGGTGACAACAAAAAAATACTTCCCCTTAATTGCACACATACTAATTAAAACTTGATAAATTTATTTGGTCTCAAATATCAATTTTCATCCCCATTCATAAAAACAAATGGAATACTGTCAATTAAACCATTTTATCAGAACCTTTTCCTAGATCTGGACTTCCCTTTGCTTTTCTTGTCACTGCTTGGCGCCACTTTCTCGGTGCTGTCACCTTTAAGTTTTGATGCTTCACCTCCTGATTTTGATTTGCGAGAAGGGAGCTCAGGCTCAGCCGTTTCCACCTCGTCACTCTCTGTGCCACCCCCTCTAGATTTGGATTTGCGAGGTGTATATTCAGCCACTTCCCCTTCATTATCTGCATCCCCACCTCCACCACGGGATTTTGATTTGCGTGAATCAGCCACCTTCTCAGCTTCCCCACCCCTTGACTTTGATTTACGTGGAGTGTATTCAACGATCAGCTCTGTGTCATCTTCCTCTTCATCTTCGGATACATCTTTTTTGGGTTTCTTCGCTGGGCTTTTCTCTGCTGCAGGTTTCTTGGCTTTGCCTGCTGCCTTCTGTGGAGCAGGTCTTTTAGCAGGGGGTTTTTTGGTCTCCTTACTTTTAGCCTCAGGTTCTTCAGTGTCAGAAACCTCAGGCTCTTCTTCCTTTTCAGCCTTCTTCTTGGTTTGTTTTGTTGGCTTTTTCTTACCTTTCTTGACCACCTTTGGTGACTGGGCTGGTGGAGCACCGCCCCGAGATTGAGACTTTCTCGGGGTGTATTCAGGCTCATCTTCTTCTGCCTCCTCCTCTTCTTCTTCCTCTTCATCATCAGACAGGTCTTGAGATTTCTTTCTGGTGTCAGCTTTTGGTTTGTTAGCTGCCTTTTTGGGGGGTGCTTTTTTACCCCTTGAAGCTCTACCTTCTGGTTGTTTCTCGTCTTCTTTCTTGGGTTTGGCCCTGCTTGGTTCTGCCTCTTTTTTAGCTGGCTTGGCTTTTTTAGACTTACTGGGAGGAGAGTGGACCACTTCCATGGTTTTAACCTTTGGCATTCCTCTAGATTTGGTCCCTTTGGGGATGTAAACTGGCTCATCAGAATCATAAGCTTCATCATCAGCATCTGAATCATCCTCTCCAGCAAGCACGATTGGGGAAGGGATAAATGGACCTGTAAGCTGGAAGGAACCACTAGCACCTAGACCGCTCAGCTGCCTGGAGAACATATTGAATACTGTTTAAATTGTGAATAATTTTACAAATATAAAAAAGTAATATGGAACTACGGAGTGGTCTAGCGGTAGAGAGCTGGACTGCTAACCCGTAAGTCTCGAGTTCGAATCCGGGTTCAAGTCAGTAGACCGTCCCTGAGTCCACCCAACTCTGATGGGTACCTAACTCACGTTAGGGAAAGTAAAGGCGGCTGGGCATAGTGCTGACCACACTATCTCTTCATATGCCGAGGTCACAGAAACAAGTGAACTCTACTTCAATTGTCCTATAGACCGTCAGGTTTGAAAGGGAAACTTAATATGGAACTAACTTTGAACCTGCTCATAAGTTGTTTTCGAATACAAAATAAAACCATTAATGAATCATTCTAGTCTAATACTAATTTACTGATACTACAATAAAATAAAACAAGAATAAATATGTTTAAAAAATAACATACATGATCATGTTTTTTGCTACGGCACGTTGGAGAGCTTTCTTAAATTTGTCAGGTCTCTCATCCACATTGAAGTCTGGATGATATTGTGAAATGTATTTTTTTATCTGGTTTGCAGACGCAGCTTTGGGCTCATGACAAGCAATTATTGCTGCACAAATTCTGTCTTCTATTTGCTCAGCTATAAATTTAAAAAGTCAAATTAATCACTGGTTGATTTTTGCTTAAAAAAAACAGGACAAGTTTTAATGAAAAAAAAAACATCAGATGTAAATAAAAAGTAAAACTTAAAATTTAATGTATACAAGACAAGTCTTACAATCAGGGTTAAAATCATCCATTAGTAGATGTAGTTTCCCGGCAATGCCTGATCCTGAAACATATTCCCAAAAGCCTTTGTCCACACCACTTTCAATAGCTTTGCGCCACCTAAGTACACAATATGTAAGCATTAAAAAATTGAAATCCTAATGCTGGATAGTAAAATCCAGTACTTCATTAATATTAACAAAAAACTTAAGCTTTCAAGCATCATTTAAATGCTAAACGCTGAGAATTAAAGACCCAACAGGACAATTTTAATGCACTGAGACAGCTATATGGGTAAAACATGAGCAGATTAACAATAAAGTGGTGCAGTAGTACCTAGTATCTTGTACAGTTTCTCCATATTTCTCTTGAATATATTTTCTTATTCTAGTAATGGCTACTGCTTTAGGAGCAGACTGGTAGGTGATGGCCAGTGGGAAAGTGTCTTCTATCTTCTCCGGCTGACCATGTCTCATTTTGGAGTAACTCACTTTTTCAACTTTTTCTGATGTAAATAGAAAGAAAGAATATTTGATAACAATTTGTGACTAAAACGTAAAAAGACAATAATTGGAAATTTAGAGTTCAGTTTGATGATTAACCTTAACAATAGTAAATTTAGATATTATTTCTGACACCAAGCCTAATTGGAATTTAAAATACAAAATATGATCATAACACTTTTTAATTATTTCTGATACCAAGCCTAATTGGAATTTAAAATACAAAATATGATCATAACACTTTTTAAAAACTTGAACTATAAATCTCATCAAGGAAAAAAAAGCTGGAAAATTACATAACCCAATATGGAGTAACTAAAAGCCGCACCATCTTCCGCACGCTTTTTCCTTAACAACTATGATTAATTTTGTGAAAAAGTTTTTTATTTAAACATCTGTTCCTTACTTTGTCTGTGTCTCTTTTTCTTAACTTCAGATTCGTCTTCTTTTTTATCTCCATTTTCTGCTGCTTCTTCTGTCTTTTCTTCCTTGTCTTCTTTTGGTTCCTTATCTTCTTCTGCTGACTCGCTATCTTTTTCTTTATCCTTCTCTTCCCCATCCTCTTCCTATGAAAAAGACAAAAAGAAACTAGCATGAAGCGGAAAGTAAGTGAAAGTTTAGCAGTTGAGCTCCAAGTTTTGAACACATTTGCTACTGCTACTTGTTAAAAAAAATACTAATTACAAACACTAATTGCTTGAAGTCAAAACATAAGTGATTGGCATTAAATATTAGGTTGCAAAAATGTCCAAAATAAAAAAAAATTGTAAAAAAATAATTCCTGAAACTTGTAGCAAATGTGTTAATATATTTACTTTGTTAATGCGTACTATATAGATAAATAAAATAAAAAATATAAAAAAACTAACCTTTTTTTCTTTGCGCTTTGGTGGTGGGGGTTCACCACCAGGTAGTTTGTAATATCCTGCCATGCCTATACCCTTAACCTGTGTGAGAGAAAAAAAACAGTAGCTACTTTGCTGAGAATAAATAAACTAAATACAATATCAATAAAAGAAGATTTTTTTCTACTCTGTAAGTTAAAATGTGCCGTTAAGATTTTTTCTCATACAGTCAATGCAATCCACATGATAGTGTTAAGTTAAGTGGATTTTTTTAAACTACCTTTTATCCTTCTGAAAAAAAAGGTAGTTACATACAGATATTAATTTACACTTTTAAATACACTTTTTAAATTACATGTAAACAATTCATAAATGTTTGTATATCTTTATAACAAAAATTTTGAGATGGTTAAAGACTAGTTTAATACTGATTTAATCTATTTTTTATGATGTGGAAGTATAAAAAAAAAATATTTCAAATTTGTGATAAGTGACCACAGAAAAAATGTATAAATTTTCTGACCTTGTGAAAGCAGCATACAGAGGATTGTTGACAGATAGTATAATATTGGGTTTAAAACTACGCAACTTACCAAATCAATCTGACCATACTGTACTCCCATCTCTAAAGCTCTTTTTAAAGTTTTGGGTTTTTGATCAAGACGCAACGCTGGATATTTTGTGGCTAGGTACTGTTTCAAAGTAAAAAATCGAACACCACTCCACTGGTTAATGGTTAAGGTAAACAAAAAAAAGCATTGTAAGAGAGGTAAATATATGAAAATGGCATATATATAATACTTCATATAAAATATCTTATTCAGAAAAGCAATTCCAAGACAAACAAGTTTGACAGCGTGTACAAACTTTTCACAGGTATGTTTACCAAATATTACAAAGGAAGGATACAGGATTTTTAAAGTGGTTGATTGCTTCATGAACAATATCTTTCATTCTGATACCACCAAGACCTGCTTTCTTCTTTTCATGATTGATTTTACGCTCCTTGATAAGGCTCTTGTAAACTGAAGTTTCTTTAACGCCAAAAGCTTTACCAAATTTTTCTTTCACCATCTGCCAAAAATAGTTTCACACAACTGACATTAAAACAAAGATGTAGACAATTATAGAAAGATAATTAGTTTTACAAATTTTTTAAATTAAAAACTGTTCAAATTCAACATTACATTATTCTAGGATCATTAATTATTTGAACATCCTTGAAAATAATATCCAAAATCAGATTTACGCCAGGGATTCAGCCAGATTTTGAGAATATGCATAAAAAAAACACTGAATTTCACCTACCCTGTTAAATTCTGGAATATCCAAAATATCAGATCCATCAGCCTGGCATAACTCAGTGTAGTAGTTGTACAAGTGAGGTAAATGAAGTGTTTCTTCCGTGCGCTTCTCTAGATTGTCATTTAACCTGTAATTTTTGTAGCTGTTTAGTAAATGAACACAAATGCTCGAACTACCAAAATACAATGTATTTTTAAAATCTCACCAAGCGGCTACTTTAAATACTGAGTTACGAATGCTCAGGGTTACCATATCAAACAAACACAAAAACTTACCAATCAGCTAATTTAAGTTCAGCAGGTGGGATGAACCGCTTCCGCTTCTCCATCAGAACTTCACCATCAAGACCTTTTAATATGTGAGATTGGGGTGTCTGAGCTGGTCTCTTTTTTGGTTTTTTAGTTGAGGCATGTGCAGTGTTAGTGTCTGTCACATCTGTTTGTTTGTCTTCATCTTCAACAGCTTCTTCAGTGTCATTCTCATCAACAACATCACTGTTGTCTTGGCTAGCTTTGATCCACTTCTTCTTAATAGCAGGCATTGTGGAAAGTTCCTGATTTGTTGGGTATGTTTAAACAACAAATCTGTTTCTTTGTAAAAAGGAAAAAAAAATTTAAACATTTGCTTTAAATTTAAACAAATGAACTTTGGATGAATAAATCGATTAAAAAAATGTAATTAATAAATTTCATTCCTAAGTTTTGCTGGAAATAGCCCAGAGATATGCCTATACCCAGTCAGTATCATTTCATATACGAATAGGAATTACATTTTACAAGATTTATAACAATAGCAATTATTTTTCTTCTTCTTCTTCGTTCTTAATTTTTAGTGTTGGGAGGGACCGAGTCTTATCTGCCAGAGGGTTTGAACTCGAGACTTTTTTTTAATTTATCAACCATGAGCTTTGCCGACTCGACCATGCTTCCATCACAATTAAGGATTACGTGTCAACTGGTTATGCGCCATTGAGGCCATTGACTCCGATTTCAGACTGCTTTTCTTTTTGGATTTGCTTCCATAGCCTTTGTCCAACCAAGAACAAACTACAAGACAGCGGTTGTTTGATTTTGGAGTTGTCTCTCCTAGAAGAGTGGCTGTCCCCAGCTAACGAGCCTCATCTGCCGGAGGGTTCGAACTCGAGACTTTTCGGTTTAGCAACCATGAGCTTTACCGACTCGACCACGCCGACCCCCTAGCAATTATTTAAAATCAACTGGGGAAAGAGGTAGGTTGAGAGAGCAGTGTTACATTTAATTGTACTTATAGACTAGACCCAATTTTTATATAAATAATAAATCATCATTTTTTCCCATTTGTGCCTAAGACATGGGGTGACCTCGGTGTGGTCAACACTATGCCCAGCCACCTTACTTTTTCCAGCGCAAGTCAGGGAGGCCTACCCATCACAGCTGGACGCATCCCACAGAAACCCAGGGCTCAAGACCATGACACCCTCCTAGCTCTAACTGCAGTACTTTATGTTGTTCGTTAGTATGTGAACACAGTCCAGATATATTATTATTATTGACAACATGAAAAATGCATCAGGTGTCACAAGAAGGACTAAATTAACAAAACGATTAGGCTAATGGGAAAATAAAACCCCAACACAGCTTTCTTAAATCTATTTCCTATTCATTGCAATTGGGAGTGCAAAGCGTAGTGTAAGGGCTTTAAATCTGTTATTAATCTAGGTCTATGTCTCAACAGGTTTATAATCTCTTACACTACTACAGTACACTATCTAGACTAGACATTATTCAACATCTAGTCATCTAGGCCTATGGCTATGAACTATGATCTACAGAATCACTATACTATGTACTTTATACAGTAGTAGGGCCACTAGAGCATAAACATTGCCTCCTTCTTATTTAATATTTATAGAAAGTCACTTCTTGTAGCCTACAAATCTACACACCATGACATACTCTCTCATTAGTAACTCATCAGTTTAACAACCAGTATTTTTATTTGGATCAGATTTGATATTCTAGCTAGCCTAATATTCAAAATATTAAAGAGCGCATCCTACTAAATTTAAAATTAGCAAATAAAAGCCGATTTTGGATCTAAAGATCCAGACTATCTAGATTCTAGATTTATTTAGTTCTAGTCTACGACTCTGCGAGTATGAGCCGACAACAGCCGTGGCGGCGTAAAATAACGAAATTTTTTCCCCTGCCTTGTTTCTCACGTTGATGTTTACTTTCGTTACAGATAATGCATGCATAAGCTTCATTAATTTTTAGTCTAAGCGGTATTATGCAAAAAGAAACTCTTACTATAGTGTTAATTTATTGAAATAAAGGTACATATTTTTAATGAAGGAAACTATTTAAATTTGTATTAATAAAAATTACCTATTATTTTTCTAAGCACAAACGCAACATATAGCCAGATTTTTTTCGCGTCAGTAAGCCATATAATCAACATTTGCATCAGAAGTCAAAGTGTCCGTAAAATGTTTAAGCATAGGCCTACTTGTAAAAAGAATTACGAAATAACTGACGAATATAAAGTTCAACTAACTTTAAAACAAATATAATGCAAAAAAGTACTTTGAAACATGTATAAAAACACACACACACACAAACTGCCATATATTGTAAAGAAGCTTCACACTAGATTTGTATACACTCAATAAAGCAGCTACGAATTGCCATGTTTTACTTAGGCTGCCGTAATTTTAGATTTGTCTTTAGATTTGAGGATAGAGACATCTGGTCAGTGGCCGGAACAATAGTTTCCAGGGGAGGGGCCGGACACTGGTTAAAGTATATATATATATCTTTTTATCTATTTTATATATTAAATAATTTTTCTATTTCTCCGGGAGGACGCACCCATTCCCGAAGAGATGCATGTAAGATAGTCTAGTCCATCATGTTGATTAATCTTGTTTTAATGGTTGTCCTATTGTGCTAGAATGAACAGCATGCCGTTTAGAAATTAGAATTAAAAGTTGAAAGTCCCCCCTCCTCCCTCCCTCAAAACTTTCAAGTGCCCCCGCTCGGGATTTGCCGGTGTTTCTTTCAGACGAACACAAAACCCAACAAAGACCTACACACATCTTTGTAAAACACTACTTTTTGGGGTCGTCCATAAACTACTTCACGCTCCGAAGGGAAAGGAATGAGAGAGGAGCACAGTGTTGCAGAGTTTCTTCCAGGCATCTCTTCGAGGGAGGGGGGGGGGGCGCCCCCCGAAATTTTTTTACCGCCCCCCCCCCCCCGAACGAAATGAAATTTATATAATTTATATAGAAAATATATACTTTTAACAGTGTCCGCCCCCCCCCCCCCCCGGAGAAAAAGGTCTGGAAGAAACACTGCAGTGTTGCCTCTCTTCCAGAGATGTCTGCAAGAAACTCTGGTAAGAGTCTAAACAAGAGCCTACGATTGAAGACAAAATAATTAGCGAGTGAGAATTGGAGGGGAGGGCGCCGACCCTAAAGGGGGCGCCAAAACTGACAGAGAAATTAATTTTAAAGCTAATTTTAAGCTAAAGTGTAGAATAATACACAGTCAATGTTAGAAAATAAACGACTACAACAAGGCTTTATACACTGATTTAGCTGTTTTCTAGATTAATTTTTATGGCACCGAAATAGTAAACGTTAAGGCATAGTAACTGGAAAGAAGCGCCACAAACCTTTCCAAATCGGGTCGGGGAGCTTTTTCACAGACAGGAATAACTATATATAGAAATGGGAGGGAGGGGGCGCTAAATTGATAGTCCACCCCGGGCGCCGGAATAGGTCGCTATTATAATGCCTCTGTCTAGAAAGAGAAAAAAAATCGCAAAAAGTGAGTACCCCCCCCCCCACATGTTTTGATAAAATTAACTTGTGGTAATTTTTTTTCTAGACCTGTATAGCATACTTGTCGCAAGTGTAAACTCGGATTCAGATGAAGACCTTCTAGAGAAGAGTATGTGCATATTCTTGGTCGGCAGGGGTCGTCCATAGGGAGGAGGGGTCCGTATTTTGGTGACGATATGTGATGAGGGGGAAGGGTGGGGTGGGGTGTTCAGATAGTGTGACGTCACACTTTATATTTTTTTAAAGTAATGTTAGAAACTGAATTTGAACCGTTATTTCACGTTTAAAAATATGTTTTAATAAATTGTAGCAGAAATTAATCAAAATACTCGATGTTGACCAAACTCAGTCAATATTGTATTTTAAATAAACCGGGAGTGATCTCCCATAAACTTTCTCGAATATTTTTATCCTAATTTATAAAAGCCCAATGTGCGCACATCTCTCTCTCTCTCTCTCTCTTTCTCTGTCCGCAAAAAATTTTCGCCGGACATCACGTCAGAATCGGCAGCGATATATCGAGAATTTTTTACGGACTTTTGTTGAAAATAATATGTTAGATGTTTTAAATGTATAACCACAATTTTATTTAAAGAAGAAAAATAAAAATTTAAGGCGTATTCGAATGTAGAGAAACAGTATTATTTATGCAACCGGAAAAGCATTAATATATGTGAAAAAGAACGCATAAAACTGTGACGTCACTATTGCTTATACATTAACTATTGACGTCATCTGCCTAAATAGCGAAGATGTTAGTGTACATTAAACCACGCAGGTGGTGCGGGTTCGAGACACACCAAGTCAACTTGGTTAATGTATTTATTTTTATTATGCTCGGGCTAAACTTAAAAAAAAATTCTTTTAGGAATCTAGATCTAGATCTAGATTGTCGGGTGTCCGATAGGGCACTTCCCGGCGCCGCAGGCGCTTCAAATTTGGCAGGATCTTGCCTTGGGGCGACAGAACACGGGGGCCGGTTGGCCGAAAAGTCTACGATGAGGGGGTCAAAACTGACCTCGACTGACCGGTACCTTATATGAGCTATAAATCGAAAAAAAATGTCCACGGATTAAACCTCTTCATAACTCTTGAGGTCGTAGACCGACCCTCGGGCGAATTAATTAAGCATGCAAATTCTCAATGTTTTCGAAAGCCTAAGCGAAGCTGGGCAGCATGCCTAGTATAAAATAACAGGGGATGGGAACTCGGGCTATAGACATGATTTTTAATCCATTTTAAATACTTAAAGTTTTAAAAAAAAAATTCATAAAAAACGTTTTAATAACAAGCTTTTATGTAATGATGCACTAAAAAGTAGAAAATAAATTATAGACAACTATTTAAATAACTATAAAGAAAAGCGTGGGTCACTTTAGTATCTATTGGATACCTTTACTAATGTTAAGGAAGACACCCACGCTTTTCTTTATAGTTATTTAAATAGTAGTCTATAATTTATTTTCTACTTTTTAGTGCATCATTACATAAAAGCTTGTTATTAAAACGTTTTTTATGAATTTTTTTTCAGTACTTTACATGTTTTATTTACAATAGAGTTACATGACTAAAAACCATTGCGCGCCTACTGAACATCACGTTCAGTAGGCGCGCAATGGTTTTTGAACGCAGCCATTACGTGATGGCGCAGCTATTGAAGGTGATGACGCGTGTGGTGTGGTTGGCTAAACATGCCTACTAATTCGGTCCAAATTTTAATTAATTCATAAAAAATTAATTAGGCATCCAATTAAGTCAAATTTAGTTTCATATTGCATTGTCTTCATGTCTTGACCCACGTGCCAACTGTGAATCGTATCGGTCAAGTAGAACTGTCCGAATTTTCACTCCTACGTTTCTATCTAGACTGACGACAGACTGTCGACAGACAGAGGAAGTGAGTTAAATAAAAGCTTGTAAAAAAATTCATAAAAAACGTTTTAATAACAAGCTTTTATGTAATGATGCACTAAAAAGTAGAAAATAAATTATAGACTACTATTTAAATAACTATAAAGAAAAGCGTGGGTCACTTTAGTATCTATTGGATACCTTTACTAATGTTAAGGAAGACACCCACGCTTTTCTTTATAGTTATTTAAATAGTAGTCTATAATTTATTTTCTACTTTTTAGTGCATCATTACATAAAAGCTTGTTATTAAAACGTTTTTTATGAATTTTTTTTCAGTACTTTACATGTTTTATTTACAATAGAGTTACTTGACTAAAAACCATTGCGCGCCTACTGAACATCACGTTCAGTAGGCGCGCAATGGTTTTTGAACGCAGCCATTACGTGATGGCGCAGCTATTGAAGGTGATGACGCGTGTGGTGTGGTTGGCTAGACATGCCTACTAATTCGGTCCAAATTTTAATTAATTCATTAAAAATCAATTAGGCATCCAATTAAGTCAAATTTAGTTTCAGATTGCATTGTCTTCATGTCTTGACCCACGTGCCAAATGTGAATCGTATCGGTCAAGTAGAACTGTCCGAATTTTCACTCCTGCGTTTCCGTCTGGACTGACGACAGAGGAAGTGAGTTAAATAAAAGCTTGTAAAAATAGAATAAAATCTCGTAGACAAATTAATTGCACACCAAGTGAACGCGAAATAAAAAAGCGCATAATAGTGCGCAATATTATTAGTACTTTTAAAATTTACATTAGTTTTTTGAGAAATCGGAAGTAGCGTAAATTACTACTTCCGGTCAACGGAAATTACTCAAAATTTAACAGAAGGTAGAGAATTAGATCTTTTACTTACATGTGAAATTTCATGTATCTATCTGAAATAGTACTCAAGTTATAGGCTTTTGAAAAATTCAAAGTAGAAAAAGTACCACTTCCGGTTGTGGGAAATCGCTCAAAAGTTGATACGGATCTACGATTTTGATATAATACTTATATATGAAATTTCATCAACCTAGCTGTAACGGTGCTCAAGTTATCGTGTTTACACACGGACACACAGACACACAGACACACAGACACACACACAGACATACGGACATACGGACAAGATTGCAAAATTATGTTTTTCCGTATCAGTGAGGTGTAAAACGTCGAGATTTGTAAAAATCTCGATTTTTTTTTGGCACGATTACAATACTTTCTCTATACTACGTATATACGAGAAAGTAAAAATCGATGTTTAAAATAAAATTAACTTCAATTTAGAGAAGGTTTGTAGGCTGAGATGTGACGCCATCTAGGGGGGGGGGGGGGTCTTGCTTTTTGTGACGGAGGGGAGTGGGTGGTAAAAATCGTCCAAAAAAAAGCGAGACGTCAGATAAGCTAAACCTGGTCAAGAATAGGCGTCTGGTCATAGTACTGACCTTCATTTCCCGAGGTCAAGAAACGCGTGAAAGTCACTTCATCGTTAGGACTGAAACGGGAATTTTAATATATATATATATATATATATATATATATATATATATATATATATATATATATATATATATATATATATATATAGTGATCGAATGTTACCTTTTTTCAATTCTTCTCTAATGTGTAATAAATACATTTCTATAAGCAATGTTA